GGATCTCAATTTTTACAGTGGCTCTTACCATCTTCCGGCGCAAAGGGGTTAAGGAGAAGACGAGAGAGTATGGGAAGCATTAGATGTGGCTTTCTTCATGGTAAAACTTTGGAAAATACCGTAGGATGTATAAGACGTGGCTGTGATCGGGGTAAGATGTAGAGAAATGGGTCTCATTACATGTGGTTGTGTTAAGGTAAGGTCTTGGGAAATGGGTCATATTGATGTGCTTGTGTTCAGGTAGGGTTTGGAGAATGGGCCTCATTGGTTGTGGTTGTGTTCAGGGTTACATCTGGAGAAATGGGTCATATGATATGTCAGAATAACCCGAGAATAATAATTGATTTTCCCACGTGGAAGGGAAAACTTGTGTAAGTTCACAGAACATTGCCAGAGAAAGACAGTTTGCGGTAACTAGTCAAATATAGAAAGTACAATATATTTACAATGTATTCCCTTGGCACAAATCAAATTAATCAAACTGACAGGTGCACACTGTCTTAAGAAAGGCAAGAATCAAACAGTTCTCAATACATGTACACACTTAATATCGCTAGTAAATTAACAGAATCGTTTACTGGACACTCGTTCGTCACTGATGATGCCGTTGCTGAAATAAGCAAATTCACAAATATAAATGTGGCAGGTCTACTAACATTATGGGAGCAATTGTTTACTATTCAGTAAAGATCCAAGTACTGTACATGTACTTGCTAATGTGGATGGTCTCTTTTCACACTCTAGTCTTTACAACTCAGCAAATGTGCACAGCCTCACAGTTCAGATCATTATACTCCCACCTGTCACCATTTCTTCTTAGGATTCAGCACATGTGCACCCTAGGCACCGCACAGTTTACATGTAGTTCATATCTCTCCCACCTGTCACCTGGCTGAAACCAATTCCCCGGGGAAGCCCAACATACGTCACAATGCTGTGGCCATAAGGCATGGTCTCTGAGCATGTCGACTCACTGCACCAAGCCAAAACAAGGGAACTCCTAGACTCATCTAGTCTTCCACTGCGAGAGTGGGCTAGGGAACTGCTGGTGACCTTGACGCTCATCAGTTGGTCATCTACGTAAATCATTTTTTCACATTTAGTGCCTAATTCAATTCTACGTTAAGCAATGTACAAATAACTGTTAAAAGTTAAAGTTGTCGATAGGAGGAATTACAATGATCAAATTCTCAATTTATAACATTTATCCAACTCCGTTCGTAGTCCGTTTTCTATACAAATGACGGACTAGTAAACTCGGCTCGAGCTACAAGGTAATAGCACACCGTATCTTGTTCAACTCAATTTCCATCATCAAAATCAGATAGGGGAAATATTTTAATACAGTCGTTAAAACTTAACAATTATTTACAAGGAATTTTTCAGTGATAACTTTGCCATTTGGTAATTGCAAATATTTACAAGAATTCAATCAATGAAATTTTACTTTACTTACAGTCATCTTCACATCTCACCGTTTACGGACTGGTCAGGAAAGGCGCCTGTGCATGCATGCCCTTCATAACATAAAAATTACAGAACATGCAAGCTTTCGCAACTGCATGATTGAATATGAAATTGGTTCAAACCATCACAGCAAATTTTGGCCTGCAAAATTGAAGGATCGGCCAAGCTTTTTTTGAAAACACTCCAGTAATATCTCGGCTATGCCCGAAACAGCCAATGCTCTGTGTTGGAAGCAATAATGCTCTGCCCTGCAGCAATCTAGTTTTTTTACACCCACATGAAACAATGGACCCACGAGATGACGTCAATCCCACAAACCCCTAGGACCAGAAAAACCAATTAACAATTTTCTCGCCAAGGCAAACCTGTGACCCTAGACTGACAAGTATAACCAACCAAGGGATGCAGAACTAAACTTCCACAAGTCACTCAACAAAACAAACTCTTTAAAAACTGGCTTCGTGACATAAGATGTGACTGTGTTCAGGGTACATGTACGATGTGGGAAAATAAACTTAAAATAAGGATGTGTTCTTAACCAAATTGTGTTAGACATGGTACATGTAAGTAGGCCCGCAGTTGATGGTACATGTAATAAATGTAGATGGAACAATGCAGACAGTTAATATTACCATGCAAGAGATGACATCATCTCAGATACATGTAGTGCTCCCTGCCCAAAAGCAGTGTTGTATTTGAGTCCATCTCAAGTCCCTTCACAAGTCCGGTCACAAGTCCCTTTATAAGGCCAGTCATAAGTTACAAGGTGAACAATGACAAAAGAATGCTTTTGTCAGAGCTCATTTAAATAGCTTGTGAATTGGCTTAAAACAGAGTAACTTGTGATGGTGTTACAGGGAATTACAGGGACTTGTGATGGACTCGAATGCAACACTGCTAAAAATGACTAGTTATTGCTAGAGACCATACATGTATATACAAATCTCCAACATTTCTTCATAACAATTGTCCAGACAGTGTTTAAACATAATGGCGCAATGATGGCAAGTCTTTAGATGCCAGTGCCTGGCAGGCCTATGGAGGTAAAATGTGTGCTGCACTTGAACTTGGCTGCTTTATATCAAATACCACTCAGGTAAAGACTTGGAAGTACTGCAAAGACTTGTATTGAGAAGTAATGCACAAATAACTCTCGGGAGTCAGTACAGTATTTCTGATGTTTGTTTTCATTTTCAAGTTAGGTTGTTACATGTACTGATTATCACATAAATGTATTTTCCCAAATGTTTCTAAGCCAAAAATTATCCCACTTCCAGTCATTTTTAGATAGTCATGGTCATAAAGTTTCTTATCTGACATATTCAATGTTTCTTTTTAGTGTTGTCCACAGTCCTAAAGACACCTACTTTGTAAAACTCATCAACAGCATTAGGGGAGAAATCAATCAGACTGCACATTGTAATAATATTATTTGTTTCTGACATCTCAACAGACAGTAGACATGAAGTAAGTAGTCATACTAGATTTTTTTTTATATCATTAACATTTGCTGTGTTCCATTTTTGTTGGCAGTTCTTTGTGAAGCGATTCCGTGACATTATTGACAATCCTCAAAGTGATACAAGAGCTCTTTCTTCAGCTGTCAGAGGATATGGATACTTTGCTGCTGTAAGTTGACATCCTAGTTTATGTCCATGATTCCAATTCGCTACAAGGACTTATATTCGGATGTTATTGCCAAGAATTTTAATGTTTGGGTTAAGGAATTCAACTGAGTACAATTCAATTTGGACGAACGAATAACTTAAATTTACATTTTATACAATACTGCCATGACTGCATAACTCCCCTCATGATTCTCGATCACTTCATTTATTGGTTTTAGTCAATGACACCCAGTGAATAGGACTTCATTCAGTCGACTGGTTCCTACCCCCATTTCATGTACCTCATTCCCAGTAAGGAGCAGTGTAATGTAGGGACAAAAACCATTCAAACATTGCGTGGTACATTGGGTTGTGCTTTGTACGTGAATCTGTTTCGCAAAATGATGGACATTAATTCACCAGTGAGAATCTATTTGTTCTTCCAACAGAAAAGGATTTATGCAAATATTTATTAAACAAATAATGAGTGTGTCACATTTGTGCAACAGTGAGAACAATTTCGTTGACAAATGAAATGTTTGATTCCATCTCGCTTCGCATCATGGTATCGAACATTTCATCTCTCTTCTCTTGGAATTATTCTTATCATTGCACTCACAAGCATTCATTATTTGTACATTAACCATGATAAATGTATCTATCAAGCAGTCTTTATTCTGTTCCAGCCTTGCAAGTTGTTTATGACAGATGATGATGTCAAGTTCATGTTTACAGAAATGATTCAAAGGAGTGAACAGCTGTATCTTCAGTAAGTCAGTTTAAAATGATTGTTGAAAGTGTTCAAAAATGAAAGAGCAGAAAAACCACATCCATCTGTAAACTATTTATTCAAATCTATTACTGCAGAATGTAATGGCACCAGTACTTGAACAATACCATATCTCACACTTGAATAACTCTATGTATGTCCAAGTTCTTCCTGTTAATCAGTATTAGTTTATATGTAACTAAGGATGACATCAGAACCTCATGCTACAATTGTGACTGCTGATATGTCATAATCTCATCCTCTTGGCTAGCTTAATCTTATTTCCTTTTCTTTCATAAGGCAAGGAGAAGTTTCTGATGACAAACTAAATCAGCTTCCTAACTTCCTTGAGGCACTTGCAAGCATCATGAGACAGCTGGACGTGGTAGTGATATTCTGAGTGTCTTGTAGTTTTAGTTGTATGATATTTACTGTAATGAAAATGAAATTTGGAATTTGCATTTTGTTTTTATTGATTTTTTTGCAGTAAAGGAAAGATGACTCGGTGTATTTTTCCTTGAATTGATAAACCGGTAATATACATGTATTAACCTTAATCCCTTCGGCTTTTGTACTAGCACGTGATGAAGTTCAAAGGATATAACTTGTATCTACAAGGGGTCATTGTAATTACTGACACATGACTGGACCGAATAAACTTCAACAGGCCAATAATGTTGAAGTTTGAGTCATTTGGTATGGATTAATCCCAGCAGTATATGATTGACAGAGAAATGATACCAACTCTAACAAACACAGTCCAACATATGGTACCCCTAGCCAGTCTCTCCATGGAACACGGCTTGGTGTCCAGATGCAAACTGAATCCAACACCCTCACCCTTAGCCTTTTTCCTCAATACAACTTTGTTTAACCACAAATTCATAATGTTTGGTACTGATTCAGCAAAAACTTGACAAAACCTACAGTGGTAGTTTGGGGGCCTTGGTTTTTTCACTGAAGTTATCAGTTAAAACTATGAGACACCTTCATTGTTGCTGTGAAGATTGTGATTCAAACAAAAGGTCAAAAATACAGCATTAAGTAGATCAAGTTGTATGCTTTTTAATCACACATTTAATTTCTCCCTATTCATTTCAAGCTGTCAGATTCATTCCAAGCAGCTCTAGAGCGTCTTGTCGTCGTTCAAGTTAGCAGCTATCCCAGAGTACCTAATAAGTACCAATACTTAAGTCATCAAGCCATCTTGTTGGTGTTGATTGCCTTATCATCAAAAGGTGCAACACTAAAGAATTTCCTTTCAAGAGTGGGTGAGATATCACTTCTTTCCAGCCTATGTTAGGCATCTAATGGTTTTGTATTAATCCTTGGATCACTGGTTATGGAAAAAATGTTAAAAACAGGTTTTTGCTTTTATACTGATGTACATGTTTATTTTTATTTACAACCCTGTGCCTAGTGTAGGAAAAGATTTTTTACATCTTTCACACAAGGTGGAGAAGGTTTTCACAGATGAAAACACTCTTTTGGCGTCATTTTTAATTATCAATTCAATCATTTGTTCCTTTTTCAGTTTATCAGGCTTTGGTACAGACTTGCTCTCACCCTGTGGTTCTTGACGTAAGAAATCCAATTTTAGTTAATTTGCGTGTGAATCTTACTGAATGTTAGACTGTAAGATCCTTGGTGGCTTGTTCATTGCTTGGCATTTTTTTAGTTGTGTCCACAAACCTTTCCATGTCTATCACAAGTCCAGCACAAGTCATGCAGTCATGAGTCACCAACTGCAGTTTTGAATCTGTAATGAAATGCTACAAAACCATTCAGTTTTCACTCTGTTACTTGTGACTTGTCTATCCTTTCACAAGAAAGTGACTGGACTTATAACTTGACTTGTGAAGGGACTTGCTTCATTCAGTTAATCTAATAGAATATGAAATACTATGTAACTGCTAAGGTAAGGGAACTGTTCATGTCAAGAAGCTTGTAGGTCAATTCAGTTGGCAAGTTTTTGTTCTCAGTTAGATGAAGCAGTTGGAGCTTGTTCCTGGCGTCCAACAAGGCTTCTTCAGCAACAGTCATTTGGATCATGTGATGCCACCAAGATTGTAGAATCCTTGTCACATGATCCTGTATACTGGAGGAGTTGGTACTAGTTTTCTTAGTTTGAAGATTTTAAATTTTACTACAGTGCATTAAAGTTGAATTTTAATTTATGGCTGCAGGGAAGCCCCTCGATAGATCATCCAGTCTTGGGAAATGATGATCAGGATACTGAAGCTGATATATTGGCTGATGCCAGACACATCACATACAAAGATTATGTGAAGTTGTGGGCCAGTCTGCTAGACAGTACCCACGTAAAGGTAACTTAAAATCTTAAATATGTAATGTGTCTGACATGTTTGCTGTTTCTTGAAGTGCCTACTGTTCACGATAACAATTACACTACTCAAAAAAGTTAAGGACCACTTTTTATTTTGTCGTGACATTTCCCTGAAACTATCCATTTTGAGAAAATGTGCATTTGATATTTTGAAACTTTTTTCCAATGAGAGCAGGATCTAGACAACAAATGAAAGAACTAAAACCCACTCATTGCTTGCAAAATTACAAGTTAAGAAAAAAGTGGTCCTTAACCTTTTTTGAAAAGTATACTAATTTGCCTTGACTTTGACAATGTACAGGCTAATTGTGCATGCACTCACATGTACATGTGTGGTTCTTTTGGTTCAGTTCCAAGTCATAGTTCTGTTATTTTTTCAGGTCCCAAGGTGACACCGCTTACTGGACAGTTCAATTTCTGAATGACCTGTACTTGACATATTTGTATTTCATGTATGTAATACTTGTCTATTTTGAACATTACTCCATGGCTAATAACCACACTAGTTATCCTGCTTATGCAAGAACAGCTGACATGATTGTCACAGTTTGAGCTGCCTTCTGATCGTGGCATCAACAACTGACGTGATTGTCATTGTTTGAAGTGCTTTCTAAGTTCTGATCATGGTATCAACAGCTGACGTGATTGTCACTGTTTGAGCTGCCTTCTGATCATGGTATCAACAGCTGACATGATTGTCACTGTTTGAGCTGCCTTCTGATCATGATATCAACAGCTGACGTGATTGTCACTGTTTGAACTGCCTTCTAAGTTCTGATCATGGTATTAACAGCTGACGTGATTGTCACTGTTTGAACTGCCTTCTGATCATGTTATTAACAGCTGACGTGATTGTCACTGTTTGAACTGCCTTCTAAGTTCTGATCATGGTATTAACAGCTGACGTGATTGTCAATGTTTGAACTGCCTTCTGATCATGTTATTAACAGCTGACGTGATTGTCACTGTTTGAACTGCCTTCTGATCATGATATCAACAGCTGACATGATTGTCACTGTTTGAACTGCCTTGTGATCATGGTATTAACAGCTGACATGATTGTCACTGTTTGAACTGCCTTCTGATCATGATATCAACAGCTGACGTGATTGTCATTGTTTGAAGTGCCTTCTAAGTTCCAATCATGGTATTAACAGCTGACGTGATTGTCACTGTTTGAACTGCCTTCTGATCATGATATCAACAGCTGAGGTGATTGTCATTGTTTGAGCTGTCTTCTGATCATGGTATCAACAGCTGACGTGCTTGTCACTGTTTGAGCTGCCTTCTAAGTTCTAATCATGGTATCAACAGCTGACGTGATTGTCACTGTTTGAGCTGCCTTCTGATCATGGTATCAAGTACATGTATCAAACTTCATAAGCTACATGTTGTTTGGTACCGTAGCATTGTATATACACAATATGAAGCATTGGCACTGTCAAGGTAACTGGATGCCAACTCACCCACACTATACATGTTCTATGTGGCATGATGCCAAGTGCTTTCTTTAATTCTTCACTGTAACTATACTGTACCTGATTCCTCATACTGTAATTTTTGGAATGTACCGATAGGCCTTGGCTTAATATGTTGATTTTCAGGCTGAAAAATGTCCCGGTGGCTTATCTTCTAGGCAGCTTGTACTGTAGCATTTATAGACTGAAATCAGTTACAGACACCATGCCTCAGCTTCGGCCACTCATGCTGATGGCACAGCACTCCAGAGGGCCAGACAAGTCATGTTTTGTTGGTTACTGTCTATGTTCACTCTTCTCAACGGAACTTCTTGGGATGAACCCTAATGTGGCAGAGCCTCTAACATGGTATACATGTACCTTGTCTCTTATTGCAGCAATAACTTTTACCTCAGATTTTACAAAAAGTAAGATTTAATAAACCACCTAATATTCTACATTGTAATTCATAAATCTCATTTTTGCGTAACTGATGCAAAGTTCTAATTAACCTTTTTTGGCCAGTTTCCTCTTTGAAAATGCATCCAAACATACAACAGTAATTTTCTTACAAACTTTCAGTTGGGTTTTGAAGTAGAGGTAATAACGATTTGCATAGATAAAATATTTTTGTGGGATTTTTCAAGATTTTTTCAGGAGCGCCACTTTTAAGGATACTTGGCTGAATTCTTACCAGTTCCCCGACGCTGGCATGTTTGAATGTCGGACAACATTTCGTGACACTGAAATTGTTTACAAAGGTTCAAAAGTCTGTATCATGAATATTATAGAAGCGGTATTTGACCAATGGATATATATGAAGTTTTTCAACAAAGTGGTTTGGCAACACTATGAGGAAAGTCAAGTGAACATTTAAGTGCACAACATTCATGGAATCTACATGTACGAGTGCTTCATCATACAGCATGATGACTTGTGTGGTTGGACATCGTTTGCGCCGCTATGCTAGTGCGGCTAATACATCAACTTTAAATCTTAATTTGCAGGTTTTTGTGTGGTAAAGCTTATAATTCACACAGCCTACATTCCAAAGTTATACCCCGCAGCGAAATGTGTGTACGCTCATACCTGTAATATCTGTGCAGTTTGTTTACCCATTTTTGTCTGAAAACAATACCGAAACAATACCTGAATACTGAATTCCAGAAAGAGAATACTCTTATTAAGTGTTAAAAGCAAATTCTGTAACCTACTCATTTGATTGGCGTAACATGGATGCACAACCCAGGCATGTAAAGTGCATACAGGGTGTATCAAAACAAAGGAAGCCCAAATTCAACCGTAATTTGTAGGAAAACTGCAGATTTTTGAAATTATGCATTATATGTCTCCAAACAAGCACTTGTTTGATGTTGGCTTAATAAGCACATTCAAATGTGCATCCTTTACTGTATAGTGTATGCTAACATGTGAGAGTGCAAATTTCACCTGCTGGTCAACAATGCATTGTTACTCATTCAACCGGGACATTGAGCTCATGATCCAGGTGTCATTGGAAAGGAGACATTCAGGCCTTTGGCCTTTCTGAAGACATGTAAAATGCTTATTAAGAAATATGAGGTTCCTTATAAATTATAGTTGAATTTGGGTTTCCTTTATTTTGAAACACCGTGTAGCACCTTGTCATCTTTGCACTAAACTGCATGTCAGTAACAGTTTGTTTGGCCCTTTCTGTAGGCCTGTGTTGCCAATTACATGGCTATTCATAGAAATCAGACAAGCATTTGACATACTTTCTGTGTGTATTATCAACCATCAGGAAGTCCAAGCTATGGGGATGAACTATGCTGACCGACGGAAGATCCATATAATCCTGTATGATGAGTTAATCTTTTCCATCTTGAAGATTCTGAGTAAATTGGACTTGACCTCCAATAAGGACACAACCGAACTGCAAGATCAGGTAATTACATGTATCGGTATATGTACATGTATATGTGTTCGTGGAATGTCTTCTCTATCAGTAAAAATGTCATTATTTTAGTAAGGAAATGAATATGTGCTTTTCTGTTCTTATACAACCAGCTCAGGTAATGGACATGACTAGTGCCCGAGCCACAGGTGAGGTCATTACCAGTGTTCATTCTCCTGAGCCGGCCTCAAAAGAAAAAACAACCAACAAGCACATAGTTATTCCCGTTCATAAATACTATGTTAGTCAGAGAGTCAAAGGAAATTTTCTTCAAGAAGTTGACTTTTAGTTTCCCAAACATCCTCGTCCAGTTAATAGTATATTCCTTGTGCAATTAGTCCAAAAGAATGTTTTTTAATATGGACTTAGGGCGAGCGTGGCGAGTTCCACATGCTGTGCACTTACAGACTCTTGACCAATGGGCAAACAGACTCTTGACCAATTGGCGCACACACTCTTGACCAATCAGAATGGATTAAACTGTTTCCTATCCAGATTTCAGCACATCTTTTATGCTGCAGGCATTACCAAATCACATCAAGCATAATCAAATGTTAATACACGGTCATGTGATGTGTTTTCACCAATAGGAATAAAAAACTGTCCCAGATATTTTTAAATTCAATTTAAAATTAATGAAAACAGACCTTTTACAATCACAGTTAATCTGTGTACTTGTGACCATGGTAAGCTTTGGAATATTTACAACACACCTACCGGTACATGAATATTCCTACCCACATGTAGTTTTCATTGACTTCGTGCTTATAAATTTACAAATTGATTACATGCACTACAAGTTATTGACACTTCAAACATATGTGGTACGAGTGAATGAATGTGATAGAATATACGAATATGGAACAGCTCAGAGAGGGATGGAGGATGTTATCAACTCAAGATAAAATGTGGACTTGCCTGTTTTACTTGGTTAAGTTGCCTTATTACTTTGAATAGTCCAGATTTTACCAAGCAACATTACCGGTATTCTTCCCATTTCACAATTCAAAGCCACAAATATTCATATAGTTGTATCATTTGTTTCAAAAGTGCACAGAGTTTGCTCTTGTATGATCATCGTAGCACTTATTGTACAAGTAATATTGTTTTAATGTGTCCTAAAAGTAACACCAACAGCTTAATGTCTCTGATTTTTCTTTGGATTGAATTCCATGCTGTTCAGAAACAAAGCATCATTGTAAATCCTCTGTGCTTCTTGCTTCAATCTCTGCTCCTGCTCTCTCACCAAAGCTATTTCCTGTTCAGCCTTCTGAGAGATTTTCTTCATAATCTCTTCAAAGTTTGAGTCTAGTTGCTCGAGAGATTCATGTGTTTCCTTCTTGGCATAGCTCAGAGCTACTTTAGTTTTTTCTGCTTTTGCAAGGAGTTCTGTGATGTCTTGTTTGCATTTCTCCATAGCTTCATCTGGACTAACAAGTGAGTGTCCCTTACAACAGTGATCAAGGATGGAACATTTTGAGCATATCAGTTGCTCACACGTGTTACAGTATATGTTTAAATCTTGCTCACTGTGAACTTTGCATTTTGGGGTAAATTCTCTGAGTTTACTCTTGTAGACTACCTCTCCAGACTTAAACTGTGCCATTGTGAACATTTCATGTGATTTCAGATGGGTCATCGTTTCATGTGCCATATGACATTCTTGACAAAGGAAATTACCACAGTCCATGCATCTAGAAATGGCGGGATTCATCCCATCACAGGATTGACATTTAATCTCTGACCCTTGACCTTGCAGCTGTTCTTGTATTTGAACCTCTTCTAGCAGGGCACTGAGTGTCAGACTAGAACACAGATCTTCAATCTCTTTCACCTGGGTCTTGCATTTACATGTAGGGCACTTTATCACAGTCACATTATCTTGTCTCTGGCTGAGAATTTGAATACACACCAAGCAGAAACTGTGTAAGCAGTCAAGTATTTTGGGATCTTGAAACTGGTTATTGCAGATTCCACAAATGAACTGATCCTTTCTGACAGATTTATTGAGTGATTGAGAGGGAGCATTGGATGCCATGGTCACTGGGAGTAGATCAAACCACAGATCTGTAAAAAATAAACAAGTAGAGAAGGCATAACTGTCAAGTTAAATATAACATAATTCTTGGACAATCGGTGTAAAAATAAGTGACACCTTTGAAAGACTTAGAGCTGATATTTTTTATTCACTCCAAGTAAAACCTCTTTGTCAGGTACAGTAGCATTATGAAGCAAGTTAACAGCAAGAAATCTTTTTCAGTGATACATGTTGATTTCCATTCACAATATATTCAAAATCTCTGTCTTGGTTGAGACTTTCAAGTAAATGCACGTTCGATAAGTAATAATCAGAAGACACATTATTCATACAATGATTTTTTTCATTTCATTTCCTTGTGTCAATCAATAAAATCGTATATCAAATTTAAAGCTAATTTTGTGGTAGTTTCAAATTGCCCTTAATGAGCACAGGCACTCTGTTGTAATCATTGACTTATGAACATCTACCGGTATGTCCTTCAAATTAAAATTTTCATGAAATGTTTCTGAAATTAACACACTTGCCAATATTCCTCAAACATGCGGATTCTCAATTGAGTAAGTAGTGCATGTGTACGTGTAGTTTCACTTGTGGAAAACTTACCTGAGATTTGTCTGCCTCAAAATGCTGACCCCTTTTCAAACCCAGTGCAGTCGAAACACACAAAACTGACTGGCAGAACACTGTAAGAGGAGTGTTCTTGTTCAACAGTACTTACCTGGTACATGCACATATGTGGGCTAGAAAGGCATGTATACAGTACATGTATACAATAGCTGTTTAGAAATCCACTTGTGCACATTATACTTTGCATACTAGTGTGTACATGTACGGTACTGTGTAGCCAAAGGTCACAGTCAAAGGTTTGTTTGCATTTCTTGTATGTGTGCATAGGTGTGTCGTGTGAATTTGAATGTGGGTTTCATTAAAGAGACACTATGTAACTTTCAGTACTCTAAGGCAGTGATACTAATTCAATTCTTCCAAGACCGAATCAACTTCAAAAGCTTATTTAAATTGTGTAGTCTCTTTACGGAACAGTTCTTCAGGGCCTGGAATTCCGTTTAGTGAAAGATATCTGTTGATGGGATGTACATACATGTATAATGTACTTCATGACTAAATTGTGGTTATGAAGTACAGTACATGTACATGTACATCCCAAATTGTGGGTGTTATGAGAGGCAAATAACAAAATGAAAAAAAAACAAGAATGGAAAAAACAAGAAAAGACAAAAAGGGAAAAGTGCATAGAAAATTTCCAGTTTTCATGCAAAAAAGGTCTTTCAATTTACCTCTTTCACTGTTGATGGTTTGTCAGTCTACCATTGTTGATGGATACATAGTGTGGCGGCGACACTCGCTGTCGCCCGCCGGTCGACGAACACCGAAGTACCCACCAACAGCGGGCGGGGCAATCCCACAAAATTATTTAATAAACCTCACATGCACATGAGCGGCTATGTACACACAAGGGGGGATTATGTCACGAACGGAGGACTCTAGT